AAAAAAAAATACTTTAAAAATAATAAAACATGATAATCATTTACTTTTGATCGTTTTCTTTTTGGTGAATAAGTTCGTTCTAAAAAAAACAAAACATATTTTTAAATAGAATATTATTTAAAAACAAAAGCAAACCTGTAACAACACTTGACGATCTTTTTTTAGCAGATTTTGCTAAATAAGAAAAGCAAATATTAATTTTTGAAAATTTCAATGAATTTTATTTTATTTTTTTTCATACGTGATCGAATAAAATCTGACAAACAAAATGTATTCCAATCAGGAAAACCATCTCGTTGAAGAACACATAATAAACGTGGTGAATGTGAATCATGTTTTGCTGAATGTAATTGAACAACTTGTTGTTCATCTAATTGATAAATTTTTTCGGATTCTATTTTAGATTTATTCCATTTTGTTATCATTTGTAGACTTAATCTAAATAGTAAAATTAATATATGGATAATATATTTCGATTTGACTTACATAAAATCACCATCATTTGTTATGTTATTTCTATTTAAATTGAATTCAATTGGATTAATTGGATTTGTATCTTTTGTATATTGATCTGGTAGAAATCCTTTATGAGAATGTTTATACCAAATTCGTATGCCATTATGTATTTTTTCAGATACAACCATTACAAGAAGTGTTACATTAGGTTGAAAAGCAGTTGAAGGTATCTATAAAGAATAAAATCATAAGAAGTTTTAACAAAAAATATCTCATTGAAATTTATTGTAAATTTTTCAATACACTTACTCGAAGTCTTGGCAAAACTTGACGCATTTTTTCTTTATCTGCTTTGATACCTTGTATACGAACAATACGTCCATTGAGTTTTTCTGAACGCATACTGAATTCGTCAGATTTATAAATATTTCTTTGAATAGGTTTGACATCTAATGAAAAAAATAATCGATTTGATAATGTATTGTGTCTTTGTTGATGTTCAATAGAAGATGGAATTGTCGTTGTTGATAGATCTGACATTTTAAAAAAAAAGACAATATATGAAAACGTTGTACTCATGACAATGATTATTAATAAATAGAATTTTTCTTTAAAATTACTTTCAGTTCCATATGATAAATATCCATTATTGTCCTGTGAACCATCATCATTTGTTGGGCTACAGTTTATAAAACAATCTATATCGAATAAAAAAGATTTTCATTTCTTTAGAAGTTTAATAATTAAAATTGTTACTTGATTCAATACGAGTTTCATCAATCGATGAGTTTTCATCAGTATCATTGAATACAATTTGATCAGGTTGCATAACTAAAAAAGAAAATAACAGTCGTATATATCTCTAGTTTTTTTAATTATTATCAAAATAATTGTTCGTACGATTTGAAGAATAAATATGTGAAGATATTGGTGAATTATTCACTACGTATAAATGTGTACACATTGGTATATTTTGCATATCTATTGATGAATTTGATTGAAATGGATTTAATCTATTTCGTAATTGATCTTCAAGATTAACAAGAGACATTGTTGTTGTATCATAATATATAATTCGATATGATTGTGGTAGACTTGAACAAAATGACTGACGTACATACTCATTGACTTGTTCAATATTTGTTCTTTCATTAAATGTTCTAGTGAGTGTTGTCATTCTTCCGCATACAACCAAAGTCTCAGATGACTCATTGGATAAATCCATGTCAAAATCGATTTCTTTTTTATAATACAGAAGAAAATAGCTGGTCTACATGTTTATATATAGGACAACCATGACTAATGTGTAAAATTCCGAATGTAGTTCGAAACTTCCAAGCCGCAAACATGATACAATAGGAGGAGAAGTGTCTTTTTTCGTTCTTTTCTTCCTTTCTATAGGTAGTGACAAAATAAATAAATAACGGTAAAGTACACTAAACTTCAGAACGATACTAAGTAATGTAAAACTATATAGGAATTGTATTATTTGAAAATGGCCTCGTGGAATTTAATTATGTATTTTTCTCATAGAATTCACTCTTTCTTGGTAAATCCCAATGTTCATTATGATGATCTTATACAAATGATTAGTAGTCATTACAAACTTATTTTGGATAATTATTTATTAGAAATATATGATTCACGTTTTAGACATTATATAATTTTTGATGAAGAATATTTTGCTAATTTACAAGATCATTTACCAAGAACTAGTGTAAGTACATTAAATGGACGAATTATAATACGACAATTATCACTAAGAAATTCTACACGAAGTTATTTATCAAATGATCGTAAACGTAAACGAACTTCATCTTTTTCACCACAAAATGATCATTTAATTATTTGGCTTGATTCATATATTGGCCTTCCAGATAATTGTCGTTATCTTAAACATAAATTTACTATAACAACAAAGTTAAATGTTGCTCGACCAATGTTAGATTATGAAATTTGTATTGATGATTTAATACAAATAAATTCAAAAAGAAAAAATACCGAAAATTTTTTAAATATATTTAGTAATAAAAATGAATGTTTAGAATTTCTTAAACAAGTTGAATCAAAAATGAAAATTATATTTATAACATCAAATTTATTTGGTAAAGAAATTGTTCCAATAATTATTCAACGTGTTCATATTATTTATATATTAGTTAATGATAATTTATTTTCTTATGAATGGGCATTTGATTATAAATCAAATCTTTTAATATTTGACGATTGTCTATGTTTACTTATTCGTTTAATAAGAGATCTTGCACAGAATTTTGTTGAAAAAGCTGAAAATATTTCGAAATCATCGTTAAAACATGCAATTACATTTTTAAAATGGGCAAGAAAATTATATAACCGTGCAAATGAAATTGATAATTCACCATATTTTAATAATCATAATCCAATTGATCATCGATTAGAAATATTAGCATTAAATTGGATGTGTAAAGAATCAAATGAAATTATAAATAATGAACAAGATGATAAATTTGCTCTTGAGTGTGACGAAGGTTAATGACTTTTTTTTCCTATGTAGTTGTTTAATCAAAAATAAACATCATGCTATTAAATATCATCATATAGAAAACTTGAAAGAATCAATACTTATTATATCATTTGGACTAGTCATAATATGAACGTTTTTATGCAATAACATTAAAATGATTATGAGACATTTTCAGTATGAATAAAAATCTTACTCAAGGAATACTATCGTTTATAGTTCATTAATTCAATGAGATAAATATAGATAGTTGAAGTGTTATTTCGAACATCGATAAGATAATATTTTTATCTTGTCGACTAAGAAACGTGTATTGATCTGTTAAAAGACATAAGTATGAGGATAGTTTATTAAGAATTAAAAAAAAAAAAAAAAAAAGCGCAAGCACGAGTAAAAAAAAATATGTTGTTTTTTTTTGAGATTAAAAAAAAAACAACGTTAAAAGCGTGGTTCAGGACGTAGTGGATAACCAGGTGGAACACCTATTATCGGTTCATCTTCTACAAACATCATAAAACCTAAAATAAATAAAAAAAAATATTCAAAAATTATTAATTTATCTTTTTATGTGATTGATAGACCTTCAAGGCCTGTAGGAATACCACCTGGACCCTGAGCTGAAGGTGGCATGTTTGATGAAAAAACAGGTATTTCACCTCCCATGCCTCCTCTTGCAAAATCAGTCATCATAGCCATAAATATTGGAGGAGGTATGAAAGCAGCACCTGGTGGTAGTCCAACAAATTCATCTTCCTAATATCATATATAAAAAAAACATAAAGTTTTCTTAACTCGTATTTACTTACTCTGGGTAAATTTGCTTGATGTTGTTGTTGTCTAGAATCTGCTGTATCTTGTTGAGAACTTTGTTGTTGTTGTGATTGTGGTGGTCTAAATCCTTGTGATGAACCTCTATGTGGAGGAATAAATATAGGAGCACCACGAGTACTGAACATAAGTGGAAATGGCATAAAGTCTTCATCGTCATATTGATCCATTTCACCAGTTTGAATACGACGTAATTCTTCTGCAACTCTTTGTTCGACTATTGGAGTTAATCTTTTTAAAACAGCAGCAACAATTTTTTCTTCATCTTCACGAGTTAATTCTTTTTTTTCTTGTTTTTTATCTTGTTTAGTTGATGATGTATCAGTAGTTGTTGTTGTTGAAATTTCTTCTTTTATCGTTTTTTCATCATTATTAGATTGATTTGCTTGAAGTTTAGCTTGTCTTAATTGTTCTTCTTGTTGAATATCACTTATATGTGGATATACTTGATGTATACGTGTTGTTGATGGATGTCCTTGTTGTTGTTGTTGTTGTCGTTGTTGTTGATGCAACGGTATTGTTGGACCTGATTGTGTTTCACCACGAGATAAACGTTCTCCTAATGTTACCTTTGGTTTTGTTTCAGTTGTAGTTGTAGGTTTTTGTGGAACTTTTTTTGTATTATTACCATGCAATAGATTAGGTAGAACATTGATTCCATTTTGTGGAAGAACTGAAGCATTTGTCGTATCTATTTAATTGAGAAGAAAGAAAAAAAGAGAAAATTTTGATAATGATAATGAAATAAGATATGCAAACTTTTTTGTATATTTTTTAATAATTGTGGATTTTGTTGAATATAAGCTGGTAAAGGTCGTTCAGGATGAAGTAGAACTACACGTGGTACAGAACCATCAGCAACTTCAACAATATCACCATCATCTATATGATAAAAACGTAAAAGTCGACGAATATTTTCATCTTCATTCTGAATAACAGCCTTTGGTGATTTAATAGATTGTGAATTTATATTTTGTTGTTGATTAGTCGATGGATCTGTTGTAGAAGTTATGGTTACTTCCTCTGTTTGTGAAATCGAATGAGGTTGTTTTTTATCTTGTACAGATGATGAAGAAGTTCCCGGTGTTTGTTGTGTTTCAGAAAATGATGATACATTTGGTTGTTGTGATTGAGAAGTTGATTTTGTTGAAATATTATCACTAATTTCCGATTGTTCTTTATCAGAATTTGATGGAGATAATTTATTAATCTTATCTTTTTCAGTATTTTTATGATTGCCAATTACTTTAAAGAAACCTGGTAGAAGAAAATGTGAATCATGTTCTTCATCTGAAGATGTAATCACTGCTTTTACAAGTGATTCAATTTTATCAACATCTAATGGTTTTGTATCATTCTAAATATAAATAAAATAGAGATATACATACATAATTAGTTAAACAACAATAATCAGTACACACTTCGGTAAGAAATTTATATGCAATAATAGCATGTGGTCGACCTAAATTCATTTTTTGAAAAAGTTGATCAAATGCATTAGGTTGAATTGTTGCTGGTTGTCCATGATTATCATCTGTTGCATATAATTCAAAACCAAGTTTAACTAAATCTTGAACAATTGAAGGTAATTGATTTGTTCGAACAACATAATCAATAAGACTAGCCCATGTATCAAGAAATTGATCTAATGTTAATATATTACGTTTTCCATCAGCTAATGGAATTCGATCATGAACATGTTCCCAAAAAGCTCTTGTAGCTCGACTTAAACGTGCTTCTAAATCACCACCATCTGAACCTTCTTTTCCTGCAGCTGTTATATGAAACTATGAAGAAAAAATTTTTTTTTTTTTAATATATAAATTTTTTTTGTTGTTTTTTTGTCTAATTTACTTACTAATAAATAAAATTCGACATCTTCCCATGTTACATATCCTTTATTTTCAATATCTAAATATTTAAAAACAAAAAAATAATTTTTTTTTCTAACTTAATTTTCAAAAAATAAAAATTTTCATACCAAGATTGATATTAAAAAAATATTTTGCTTTTTCAAGTTGAAAATTTGTTAGAGATTTTGAATCATCTTTTGTAATTAAAAAGCCAGTATAACTATGTTTACTTAGATGTTTATTCGACTCAGAAACAATTGTTGCTAATCCAGATATATGACTATCACCATCATTATTTAAAATGTTGGAAGATGTTCTATCTTCAATTATTGTTGTATTATCATGAGTTAAAGTGGAAGAAATAGGTAAAGATTCATATTCTTCCGTTTGTTCAATTGTCTCAATTGTTTCAATCGTTTCACCTTCATTCTTTTTTCCTATATTCATATTTGATATATTATTTGATATTGAAGATATTATACTTGACTTCATACCTTCATTAGAAGATTCTACTGATGATAGTCTATTTACTTGTGTGATATTATTCAAATCATTGATATTTTGTGTTGTTTTTCCACCTTGATCACTATCATTTGATAATAATGCTGATTTTTTTGCCTCGTCCTCTTGTTTCTTTTTATTATCATCAATAATTATAGTATTGACATTATCATCCACTGTTTGAAGATTTGTATTAGGAATTGTAGCCATTATAAAATTTGTGATTATATACTATATATGTCCTTGATATTACCTTGTTTACTAGGTATATTACTGTAGTAAGTAAGTATCTGATCAGTAAAGAAATATAGTAATAAAGATAAAATTTTGGAACGATGAATTATCAATAGAGACACTCACCTTCAAGTCTCATACACCGAAGCAAAAAGAAAAAAGAGTCATTATTACGCACGACTATATAGAAGTCATGCATCATTGCTTTTTTTTTGCTTCTCGTTTCTTCTTTTGATTATTCAAATGCACGTATAGTGACTCAAGGACACATGCCATCTACAAAATTTGCTCTTGACTTGAGATATTTATTCACAAAAAAAAAAAAAATGAAATAAAATGATAGAATATATGACAAAAATGAATAAATCAAAATAATGATAATAATAAAGTAAAAGATAGTTTGTATTGTTATCGTTTCATATACACAAAACTAAATAGAAGAGCACCACCAATAGCTGTTGCAACTCCTATATAGATCATTGATTTCCATGACTGTTCATTCTTTTGATTATCTGTTGATAATTGCAAAATATTGTCATCATTAAGAAATTTTTTTTCAGTTTCTATTATTATATCATTATTCACATTTTCATTTATTAATTCACATTGATTATCACATAATGGTAAAGAAATACATGATGATTTTGTCTAAAATAAAACATTCATTTTTGTTTTTTTCTATACACATTCAATTAAATTCGAATATTTTTTTGTGTTAGCTTACCGATTGTATTTGTTCATCAAGTAGAAATTGAACAATTGTTTCATGTTTTAAATGTCGTGCTATATCAATTGCAGTTAAACCATTATTTGTTGTTGATTTTGCATTAGCACCAGAATATATTAAAGCTTTAACTGAACCTAAATGACCATGTTGCGTAGCCATTATTAATGGACACCATCCTTTAGAATCACAACGATCAATTTTTGCACCATATTCAACTAATAAATAAATTAATGATGGTGAACAACCAAAACGAGCAGCTAACATTAATGGTGTCATAACTTTTTCATCGGCTATATCAAATGCTGGTTCAATATATGCACCATGTTCAAGTAAAAATTGACATATAGATAATTGTTCATCATTACTATTTGTTGTTGCACTTTTTGAATGTGATGACATACAACATGCCATTAATGGTGTCATTTGATCGGAACTTTTATTATTAACATTAGCACCAAATTCTAAGACAAATAAAGATACAAGTGAAAAATGACATGAATAAGCAGCATGTATTAAAGCTGTCCATCCACCAGATTTAAAACGACGTTCAATTGATATTGGACATGTTGTTTGACAATAAATATCTCTTAATGTATCAATATCACATATATCAATAGCTGTTTTAATACGTTGTTCAATGGAATCTTCTTTATTTGTTGTTACTGTTGTTGATGATGATGAACGATATAATAAAGATTCAGATAATTTATTAGCTAATATACGTGAACGTATTCGTCTTGCATCACGTTCTTCTTCATTATCATCATCATCATCATTAGTCGGTTTTGATTGATATGGTTGATGATGAAGTCCATTCATATGATGAACATGTGTTGGTGGTCGACGTGCCATACTAGTTAACATGGTTACAATATATATTTTTCTTGTTTTTTTTTTGTTTTTCTAAGAATAATTATGTAAGAAAATTAACTTTCACAATGCAACATTTCATTCATTTTTTTTCTTCTCTTTACTCTTCTAACATTCCGTTGACTCATAAGTATTCTTGTTATTGGTGATTAAATAGAAAAAACCCTGTGATAGATGTCGATAGTTGACTTTAGAATATAAAATTAATATTAATTAGATAATACAAAAAAACAAACATTATTTTAATATTATTCAATATTTTTTTTTATTTTTTAAATTTAATTTTAAATAGATAAATTCATTTTTATTGAAATATAGTTATTGTACACGTCATCAATGACTATATATTTATGACTCATTAGATTCATATTTCGTAATATGAGAAATCATTCTAAAGAATATTTTTGTGTTAAGTCATGCAAATGATTAGTTAATAATAGTTTATTATATACTTTTTTTTTTTATCTATGAATGAAGATAAATATAGAATAAATATTTTTATATTAATACTACGACAAAACAGATTGTTGAAGGCAATTTGCATAATAAATGTATATCTGATTGTTTGAAAAAAATATCCTTAGGATAAAATCAAATTTAAATATTTTTATAAATATCAAAAATAAACAATCAATACTTAAGATAACAAAATATATAAATAAAAGAAAGTATTTCAAGGTTAATCTTCTCACACATAACGTACATTTAGATGAATATTTGATTAAAAATAAAACTCGTCCTTTTTGAATATTTAAATATAAGGTAATATACTTTGAAATATAGTCTATCGAATCATATAAATAACTTTGTTACAATTGTCAAAAAAATTAAAAAACCAATTGTTCAAAAATCGTCATCTCACAAGAAAAATTTATATTTAACAAAATTAAACAGTTCAACAGACAAATTCAAAATCTCTACGATGAGTTCTATACAATAGTAAAATTTATTGTTTTTCAATTTGCATATTTAAATTCTAAGAAAAAAAAAAATAATAGATTTTTTTTTCTACAGTGTCATTCGAAAGGCTACTTCCCTAAAAATGAGCAATGTGCCCTTCAAACTAGTGCAATGCGTGATCATCAAATTCACAATCACAATCACACGTGATCGTGCATGATAAGAAGCTTCAAGGTGACCGTGATCGTAATCAAAAATATCAATCACGCAACATACTACTTCGAATTTGTCCAGAATATTTTTCTAATTCCTATTAGCGTAAATATTGTTGAATTGCGCAGTGAATTTCAGATTTTTCTGGTTTTAAAAAAATATTTAATCAAAAAAAAAACAATATATTTCAAATTAATGCATTAAACTTCATCGAATGATATGTAACATAAAAGAATTTTGAAGAAAGAAATTAGGCTAAGGATCTTTCTCAAGCATTTTTTTCGTCGAAAAACTTTTATTCTTAAGAAATACTTTTCTACATCACATCCAATGATTTTTGCACAAAGAAATTCATCTCCGAACATGTTCGACTGCCATGCAAAAAATTCATACTGTATCTCTAACTTCAAAAATCAATCTCAGATAAAGTATATTCAAATCACATGAAATTTTCATAAGATATTCAACAAATAAAAGTCAAAAATAGTTCATTTACCAATCGTGAATCTTCATTTTATATACTTAATTTTGTTTTATTTGAAAAAATATGTTAGAACCTTTTTTTTTTAAATTCTTACTTTTTCAGTGGAGAAAAGTTCGATGTCCTGCATCTTGACATACTCTTTCGAATAGTAAAAAAGTTATTGACTACAATGAAGCTTCATAGAGAATTCTGGATATGTTGTCAACAAAAAAAACACAAACAAAGATTTTCTGCTTCATCTGAAAATTATTAAAAAAAATCATGTCAAATATAGGACTATCTTCTTATACATTAGTCTCAATATTCATATTTTTTGACGAAAAATTGATCTTTTGTTTTAGAGGAAAGGTCTTAAACTTTTCAATGCAATATAATCAGATCATAAAAACAAGACTTTATCATTCAAACATATGTTCGAAGTAGAATTAAACTTACGAAGAAAATCTCCTAATGCAAACCCAACTAAGCTATGAATATTCTGAAAAGAGTTTGAGTTCTTAGCTTATCACTGCGGGGATACTACATTCTTACGGTAGGTTTTAAATGAATGTCGTGCTTTAGAAAAAACTAATTTTCGACTTGAAACTTTGTATTGACACAAGTCTTTGGATTTGCTTCAATCCGGAACTAAGAACATCAAATCTACTGTTGTATATAGGCGATGTAAAATACGCATTATTACTATTGTTCTATGCTAGGATAGCAACAGTGACAAGATTTGAAACTTTTTTTGGTTGAGGTCTATTTCTATGCAAAGTTTCAATTCAAAAATCTATTTTCTGAGGGAACGAACTCTTTTGGATCTATATAATCTCATTTCAAAAGCGATTTATTACTTGAAGAACTTTTCTCGTTAGTCAGAATTTATTTTTTAATTAAATAAATTTCAATTTTCATATTGAAATGTATTTTTATGAAAAAAACAAATCAACATATTAAATTCTATCACAAGGAAGACATAAGTTATAAAAATCCTTGGTTTTTTTGAATTGGAACATAAATCAACAAAAGTTAACAGCATAATTTTTTTTATGCGTTACATATCATTTACAGGTTGATTACGTTATTTTTAATAGTTTTGTATAGTTTGCTGTATTTATGT